TACCGAACGTCCATTATCCGGAATGATCTAAAACCAGACCTCAAAGCCACATTTTTTTTTTTTTTTTGTATGCTTTATGCATGCGCATTTGATTTTTCCTTCCATAATAAAACATATGGAGATTTTCACTTAAAAATTCCGATTCTTAATTTCACTTAGACACTAAATAAAATACCTCATTATGAAAAAACAATCATGTAAGCATAAATTTGTGATATTAATAATTTGGCTTCATAGCTGAGTGTCTGCTTGGGGTACAACCAAAACATTCACCTATTTTATACCCTTGACCAGGCCTGAGAGTCATCATTTATTATATTTTGCTTTCATCACTGCATGTTTATCAATACATAACAGCCTCACTAATAAATCATGCAGTGATGTCTAAACTTTTTTTTATATTAGTAATTGAATAACAAAAATATGGCAACCTTTTATGCTGACATTAGGCTTGGCAATGATTATAGATTTTTAAATGCTCTAAGATATGTTGACAAGGAAAAATTGAAGAAATTTTTTTTCATATGCTAAAAACAGATTTTGTTATTGAAACTCGTAGACCAAAAGATTACATTTAGTGCTATTTTAATTAAGACTAACTGATATGTTATTCACCATAAACCCAAAAGTGGCGGCAGAATATATCGGCACGGGCCTACAGAATTTAGGAAAGACAAAATTTTTTTAATTTGCGGAAGCACCGAGCGAGCGGCAAAATTAAGGGATGAGAAGTTTTTATATAATGTAAACTTTTCGTATTCTCGACATAGCCATTACAAGAACTTTGTAACTGAACACGAAATTATGCCTGTTTATAGAATTAAATGCCATCTTACCAGATTTAAATTGATGATCTAATATCCGGAAAAATCCGAAAACCGGAATCGTAGAAGTCCCGATGAGTCCGGATTTTGGACTTTGAACTGTATATTTATTCTTCCCAAAGAATAGTATAGAGCATAATAAGTAGAAAGGATAGATTAAAGCAAAATTATACAAGTACATAATGAAATTATACATAAAATAAATGAAAAGAAAGAAGAAAAAATCTGATGTGTACACCACATGACTTCCTTGTATTGGAATATTAAATTATACGCATTTTTTCTTGCATTTCATTTAAACTTATTGGATTGAATTAAATCTACTTCGCCGATAGCACATAAACCAGAATAGAATAAATACATTCTGTAAAATTCACTCTAGTATTTGTTTACCATAGCGACACTCTGGCGCTAGATTCACTTAACAGTATTAATTATATACAGTTAACTTATATAATAATTTATAATGGAAACTAAGTTAATTGTATATAACCAATAATTATATAACAGTTAACTTATATATTCGTTCATATTATAACTCATAATGCACAAAATTTATATCATTAAAGAATAATTATCTATCGTTGTCACATGTTCTATTCAAATACTATAATAAAGCTAGAATGATGTATAAAAGAAATTAAACAAACAAAAAAAAAAAAAAAAGAAAGAAAGAAAGAAACAGTTTTTCACAGACGATTGAGTATTTCTCATTTAATTAATTCCTCACTTCGCGAGAAGGCAAAAATGCATAAAAACTCAAAATATCTATATTAAAAATTACAAAGTAAATCTTAAACGCTTATTTCCTCGAAAAAATTCCAGAAAGGATTAAGCATGATTTAAATAATAAATGAAGGCGTTATCTTTGTTGTTGCGAAGTTAAGTTTCTCTAATTGTTGATAATTCTAAAAATATTGCACACAGATTTACTAAAGGCATAAAATCCTTAACCGGAAGATAAAAACAACATAATTCAATCATTTTTAAAGCAAAAAATGTACAATTTACCAACATATAAAAGTTAAGAAACTGAGATCACTGAGCCGGGTAACAGAGTGGATATATATATAAATATATTTATATATGTTTGGTGCAGCCGATTGGGTGAATCTTTACATTATGGTAACTTGGCGATTTTTTGGCGAAAATTTGGCGACCAACCCTGCTACAGCAACCTGCTAGTTTTGTTTTGGACGCCATTTTGTTTTCACGAAGTAAAGTCATGTTTTTTTTTTTTAACTAAACATTTTTTCCAACAATCTGCTAGCCGAATTACGCTTATACTAGAACTTTTATGGAAAAAGAATGCTTAATTACGACGAAGATTAGGTGCGAAATTGAGAGTGCCTGCTTGCCGCGTTTTTAAGAATTGCACATACACTGTATCCATGTACACGTCGACCTATTTTCTCTTAAAAAAAATCCCAGAATTGCACAAAAATGGCATTGCGCACACTCTTGACTTTATCTATGTACACATCGACCTATTTTCACTTAAAAAGTCAAAGAAAATTGACAAAATCCAATTCTTCTTACTCTTGTAAAAAGCGCCAAAACAAATAAGTGGGCGATTCTGCACTTTAGCAGCGAATTGTTTTTCTAAGTGCTTATTAGCTAAAATCACGATCAGAATTTCCGGAAAATGTCACATTACATGTCTCAATCTCTCATTTCTCTGAGACAAAATAATCTGCGATTCAAACTGTGTACTTCTCAGATTATTGCTAAAGTCCTAGCTAGTAACCTTTATCGCCTTACCAAAATGTCACCAAACTACCTGTTACCATATTCTAAAGATTAGCCGCCGATTGCAACCAAAATATGATGTGCACATCTACATGTTATAGAAGTCCTATATACACAATTTCAACGTTCTGAGGCTACTCGTTTTTTAGTTATGCGAGATACGTATGTATGTACATACGTACATATGCGTCTGTACCAACGTATGTACATACATACATCTAAATTAAATGAAAGTACTAAATTAAACGTCTGTACGAACGTATGTACGTATGAACGACGTTCGTACAGACGCCACAAAAAATTCTCTTCAGAATTAATTTTAAAGCATTTTTATAATTTTTTTGAAGGAAAAGAGTATTTTATTCTGTCCTTACGTACAGATATCACGCAAAAACATCGTTGAAATATGCTGCCTGAAAATTTTCGTGATTACAATACTTCCTTTTTACTTCGTACAAGGAAGTAAAAAGGGTACTATTCGGTTTTGAGGGCTGTAAAAAATCGCCAAACTATTGTTGAAGCCAGTGCTGCCAAAAATAATAGCGTCAACCATAAAGCAAGACTGATTGGCAAAACCTCGAGGGCTATCTGCCTCAGGGAAGGAATGCCTTCGTGGAGGACTTTCTAGAAGAAACTGGCTCGTATACATATTACACATGGGGTAAACCACGAAAACGCCCATGCAGCCAGCCCGTTTGCAGGATTCGAACCTCGGATCGAACTACCAGTGTTCAGCGACTTTACCGCTCGGCCACTGGTGGGGCCCTAAAGCAAGAAATGAAGTATAATAGTAACTATCTATCTAAGATTGATGCTTTAATTTAGATGAAAAGTTAATTGCATATAATAGTTTTTTTACTTTAAGGCTAAACATTATGGATAGATAATTTATATAAAAATTGAAATAACTAATGGAGGCTGCATCGATTGCTGTTACACTATTTTTCTATGAATGATGCCTTTTCTTTGAAAAAATTCTCGGTAAAGTGCAGACCGCCCCACTTATTTTGTTGCCGCTTTTACAAGGGTAAAAAACAATTGAATTTTTGTCAATTTCTTTTACTTTTTAAGTAAAAATACGTCAATGTGTACATGATAAAGTCAAGAGTGTGCGCAGTGCCATTTTTGTGCAATTCGGGATTTTTTTTAAGTAAAAATAGGGATTACAGGGATACCGAATGGTGAAAAACGGTACGCTGTGGGTGATTCTTACTTTACCCCAAAATTCTTATTGCAGACTTTTGTCATGGGCTTCCTAAAGGTTAAATCCTAGGATATCAAAAAGAATTTAAAATCAAAAGGCTTTAAAAATTAAACTATATTTCAGTGGCGTCTTAAGAAATATAGAACTATATAAACTTACAAAATCTGAAATCAGCTAGATTTGGCGCACTATTAAATGGGCGCGTTTGCTAGATTTGGCATACATTTTGCTGCAAATTTTTTACGGTCCTAATAGTACCGAAAAAAGTATAAACATTTTTATATAGAATAAATTTAAATGACCCATTTATTGCATTATAATTCTTGATGAATTACATAAAAATGTGCAACATCAAAATATTTTTACCGTTTTACAATAAAAATTGTTGGTACTTTTCCGTTAGCCGGGCACAAGCGAAAAATCGCCAAATAATGTAGAGCAAAGGGAATAACATAACAGTCAACGGAATAAAAGTCAAAAACATATATCAACTATAAGCAAACATTTATTAATAACAAGTAAAAGGAAAAAAAATTTAAATAAGTCAAATTGCACAAACTCGATATCCATGTACACATCAACCGATTTTCACTCAAAAAAAATCAGAGAATTGCACAAACTTGCCATTGCACACTCCCTTGACTTTATCCATGTATACACTGACCTATTTTCACTTGAAAAAAATCAGAGAATTGCACAAAATTGGCATTGCGCACTCCCTTGACTTTGTCCATGTACACTACTCAATCGGTACACTTCCGGTATTTGTTTATAGTTGATATACTTTTCGACTTTTATTCCATTGACTGTTTTGTCATTCACTTCGCTCTACATTATTTGGCGATTTTTCATTTGCGCTCGGAAAAGTACCGAATTGTTTAATGATTCCTTAGCTCAATAAGAACAAAGCATTAATTTAGTTAAGTGCACAGCACTCAAATTTAGAACGATAGCTTGATTTTTAACTCGCAATTTTACATTAAACTTCTAAAATTTCACTAAAAATTTAAATAATAAATAGGATGACGAATGAAATAGTCAAATTACACTGATGTAAGCCTTTTGAACACTAACATATTAAACAAATTAAGAACAGTTTTAATATCTGTGAAATAAACATATTTAAATATAAAAAAAAATTACTGACATCTATTTAATATCATATCCAGTACCCTATAAGAGAAACTGCATACAAGAATTTCTAAGTTTCTTAAATTACTTACCATGATGCAGTTAGGTTTTCCAACTGCCCACAGATTAACCTTCTTGTCATCTCCACCAGTTACTAAAACACGGCCTGATTTCCGACCAAACGATAAACAGTTGACATTGGCTGAATGAGCTGCAAATTCCTCTAAAAAAAGGAAAAAACAAACATTAGAAATGATCTAAAATATATTGTTTTCTTTTTCAAATACCGAAATAATTTTTTGAAAAAATATTTCTATAAATAATTTTACAGTTCCTCAATTTATGATAGGTTACATGCTATTAAATTCAGAGTACATTTAAAATACATTTGGCACTCCTCAACACACTCATATTAGCCTATCTTAAATGCACTAGGTCCTACCAGTATCCAAAACACTGAATAGTAGTTCGACGTGAGTTTGAAAATAGGCAAATAGGTTGGCTGCATAGTTAGTTTTCTCATAACGTGAATATAGGCCAATTTTCCTTAGGAGGCCCTTTACAACAGTACCCCTTTCCTTCGCAGATAACCATCATATGCTTTGCCATATTCAAGTAGCCTAGTCTGAAATGTACAAAAGATTCAGACTACTTTATAGCAGTTATCTTTTTCCTTCTTGCGCACACAAATTATTATGCAAATATGCAAATTTTTAAAGCCTGAAAATGCATGTTTGCAATATTATCATCATGCGATGATTTGTAGAAGCTTTACTTTATGGTGGCGTAGTGGTTGTGCTTGGTGTATATCCTTGAATTGACATGACTCCATTTCCTTAAACATAACCTTTATTCACATACACCATAACTTTAAACACAACTGAAACTACAGAACGAATAACAAAAAACCACTAAATAAAATTCCAACATCCTATGCGCAGCTAAGGTGAAGAGCGAGTTCAATGCCACGCTAGCAGTTTTATAAACCACATGACTGGATTGGCTGCGCACGCAGCGAACATTAGATAGCCACAACTTTTTATCATAATACAGTCAAAAGTCTTTAATTCGGACACCCATAATCTGACCTTAAAGCTAAAACTTTTGCGGCATGCGCCGCGTTGACACATGCGCATAGGCGTTTATGCGTGCGCGTAGACCTTTTACGACGTGCATATGTGTGTGCACAAGCGCGATACGTTTGTCTTGGGCGCGTTTTATGTATAACATACGGATAAGCTAAAATTGTCTATTATCTCTTTCAGTTAACGTTGCTATTGCTTGTTCCTTAATGTTCGAATTGATCGGCTTATTATTTTTGCAGACTGTAAGATCGAACTGTTATATATAAGTAAGACTGAATATGCGCGATATTCCCTATAATTTTCCGCATTCTACTCACCCGGCACTTTCGACTACCACCGGAAATGTACTGAAGGGCTGTCCCATCGCATTCCTGCTGCACTTCCTGTCGTGTCAAGGGCATTGCGCGCATGATAAAGACATGAGATGTGACAGAGGTTTCTTGAAACGAAAAAATTTCGATACCAGTTCGTCGGTATTTCTCAGCAAGCAATTAACGGACTGACAGCGGAACTTTGTAACGAACAAGAAATTATGTTGTTTATAGACTTAAGGAGTAATATTAACGCATAAAACAAGCATTACGGAGATGGAGACGGAATGGTTTACTCCCTTTTTACTCACAGAAAACACTCCCTACTTCAGCACTTGGATTTTTTTTTTTTTTTTTGTCCCTTTGCTCACATTGTTCTTTTTTCTTTCTTTATATCGCGTCTTTTTGTTAGCTTTTAAAAGTTTAGAATTTTCTCCATGTTCTATGAGATGTAAACTGATGACTTAACCGGAATCATAATCAGGAATCGAGAAGTCCCGACGAGTCCGAATTAACGACTTTTGACTGTATAACCATGATAAAAAAAATGTTTAAAACGGTATGCCTGGCAAGCAGCATTTCACGTGCAAAACATCGCTGTTCAACATTTCTCAGCTTCGATTCATATCAAGACCAGTTTCCTTGCTTTTAAAAAATTCCCAATAATGTTTAATAATGTGAAATTACTTGAGTCACTCCTAATATAAGTGCAAGTTCTACTTGTATTTGGTATAAATCTTCATCCAATAATAATGCTTCCAATTCCGCGTCTTCGTTCACTTTCATTCTTCCGTTACATTCTTTGTCTTAGACATCAAATTCACTTCTATTAAAAACAGAGGACTGTGATGAAATTCTAAGATCTGTGATGCATGAAACTTTGAATAATCATTACCCTGTTTCACATTGGCTCAGGGTCTATACAGATGGTTCTAGGGTGGAGGATTTTGCAAAAGCAGCAGCCAGTGTTTTTTTTGCGAGCTTATTTCATTTTACTCTACCATTGGAGCTCACACATCAGCTTTTGCTGGAGAAATCTCTCTGAAATCTGCTGGTCTATCCCATACAAAAGATGTCAAAGACTGCATCAATCTTTTGGCAAGCTTATGAGATTGTAATAAAACAGCTGTTTTGCAATAACCATAAGTTACTTGTGCCACCAATCTTTTGTTAAACAGCAGACTTGTTTGTACTCTCAATAGATTACATCTAAATGTTTGACAAATCCTTGTGAATGTGCAGGAGAAAAGGAAATGTATAAATCAAATGATTTTGTATGAGGTATGTAATATATACATAATACAGTATAAAGTCCGTAATCCGGACCTCAAAGCCACAAACTTATGCATGCGCGTAAAGCCAGTAAAGCGTTTACCCATGCGCGCTTCCGATAGTGAAGAAAGTGAAAGAGAAAACGAAAAAACTTCAATTGACAAGTTAGTTGGTATTCTCGACACAGCAATTACAGGACTTGGAACTTTGTAACTGAACAAGAAATTATGTCTGTTCATAGAATTAAAGAAAGTATTAGCACAAAAAACAAAGCAACTTAAACAACTTACATTGGAAGAAATGTTTAATAAAGTAAACAAATAAATAAGTTTTTTTTTTTTTTTTTTTTTTTTTTTTTTTTTTTTTTTTTGTAAATTTTGATATGCTTTAGATCATAATTGTTCTTTATTTCATAAATTACGGTTTCATATTTTTGTGACCCTGCTCTTGAACTGAATTCTATGGCTTAAGTGCAAGGAACATGATATTTAATAAATACAGGTAACACAAAAGACATTAAAGAAACACCCCTTTGAACGTAATGTAAAATCTGAAACCTCTCAGATTTTTTATAATTATTATCATTAATGTGATATGTTCACTGTCAGTCATGCACTGATGCATGATGTGGCACTATCACTGAAACAGCACACTGTTATCCTGAGCTAGTGCATAATGTAGAATGATTATCTCAGATGTTAATCATATATTGGAGTGGGAAAAGCTACACCTCAATGTTTTTTCTAAAGTTCAATCAGCATTAGATTTTGAGCATGTATGCTGGTATTGCTGTGGAGTGAAGGTTAGAAAATCAGTTGTAAATGCACGTAACTTTGAATTGTTTTATTTCTCATTGATAAAATAATCTTTTAACATGAGTTGTACACATAATAGTTCTGCATAGTTTTCATGTCCAAAGAAAGAAAAGTGAAAAATTAAAAGCCTCTTAATTGCTGATAAAATTGAAAAATTGTTGACTGAGCTGCAAGGACAATTATCTGAATGATTTTAATTATGAAGCTGATAGTGACAATCTCAAAGATGTCCATGGTATTTCGGATGTAGGATGCTAGGTGTAGGATATAATGTATCTATGAAAAATTAATTATGAAAGCTATGAACGAGAGAAATGTTGTCCTAATAGGAAAACGCACTGCACTGGGGTAATCAGAAAGAGATGAAAGGCATTTCTGAAAAAAAGTTAAGCAAAAAACAAAAAACTAAAGGGCAAAGTATGCTAATGATGTAATGAATGATAAGTGGAAGGGTAAAAAGAGATAAAAAGAGACATGACATTTCTAATGAATACAAAAATCATATTGTAGAAAGCATAAACAAAAAAGGTGAAATAAAACCAAAATCACTTGCTGTAATTCACTGCAATGAATTTATTGCAGGCATTGATAAGCAAGATTAAATGCTTGCATATTATCCATGCGAAAGGAAAATTATCAGATGGCTTACCAAATCGTTTTTGTATATTTTGCAAATAATGATGACAGATTCCCAATGTATCTATAATAAATACTGTAAAGACCCTTATTTTGCGGGCCGTAATTTTCACGAAAATGACCATATTGGTGACTTTGCGAGTTGAAAATTTCGCACATTTTATATGAACTGAACCGAAAGTTGAAAGATTTCGAACTGAACCGAAAGTTGAAAGATTTCAAAAGTACCTAAGTAAAGTTGAGAAAATTGAAAAATTCGATTGAATTGTTCGACGTTTTTAAGGCACACCAAGATCCTCTTTTTCTGACTGAACTAGAGAAGAGGAATATTAGTCCAGTTTTTGGTGCCCGCTTTCTGCACAGGAGAGCTCGAACCTTTGGACTTAATTGTAAATGGCGAGTTTAAATCTTTGCTCAAGAATGAGTTTATTGAGTGGTATTCTAATGAGCTTCAATTTCTAGAGGAAAAAGAATCTGTTGACTTGCGAATATCAAGACTAAAACCGATTCACGCTTCTTGGCTTGTGTGCGTATTTAACGGTATTGAAGCCAAACATGAGATAATTTTGAATGGCTTCATTGAAGCTGGTTGAAATAGTATACTAAGTGAATGAGCTGCCTTCTATTAATTTTATTGTTTTATATTTGAGAAATATAGTTGTATATTATTCAAAAAATAGTTATAAGAAAGAAATTTGTCAAGAAAAAGCTTGTAACTGTGGAATAAATCATTAAATTTTGGGAAAGTGAAAAATTTCTGATTTTTTAATATTATTTGAGGCGGAAAAAGAAAAAAAGTATTTCGCGAGGCTTAAATTTTCGCGATTACGACTAGCTCGCGAAAATAAGGGCCCTTTACAGTATTATAATGGAAATATATCACTTCATGATTTTAATTTATCGGTGATTAAAAAGTTTATTAAAACACCTATCTGATCTAATCTAATTTTTTTTTTCATAATCCTCAGTGCTAATAAAAATTTTTAATGCTAGTAGATTGACCTGGATCCATCACTTTTAAATCACCACTTTTCTGATTAGTCAACCCTAGCCATTTTTTCAGTTTGAAAATCTAGCTTTGTTTTATTATTTTTTCACAGATATTTAAATGTGCAATATATTACGAGTTCTCCAAAAATAAATAACGATATTCCCAAATCGCATAGGAAAGTAAGGAGTACAAAGCAACAAGACAAAATACCTGCTGTTAAAGACAGCAAATCGAGGTAAAAATTATTCTAATTGAAAATAAGAGTAATATGAGCCCAGAAATGGTGACGACATAAAGTGTGGACATGCTGATAAATCAACCAACTCTAAAAGAAGTAATTAGATACTACAGTCAAAAGTCATTAATACAGAATCGTCGAGACTTCGGCGATTCCGGATTATCGATTTTTCCGGATTATAGATCATCAGTTTAAATCTGGTAAGATGGCACGCAGAAATTACAAAATTAAAAATATGAAACCGTAATTTATGAAATAAAGAACAATTATGATCTAAAGGGTATCAAAATTTACAAAAAGAAAAAGCTTAATATTTATTTGTTTACTTTATTAAACATTTCTTTCAATGTAAGTTGTTTAATTTGCTTCATTTCATGTGACAATACTTTCTCTTTAATTCTATTAAACAGACATAATTTCTTGTTTAGTTACAAAGTTCCGCTGTTCAAGTCCTATAATTGCCGTGTCGAGAATGCTGACTAATTTGTCAATTGAAATGTTTTCATTTTCAATAACCTTTGTGTCACTTTCTTCACTATCGAAAGTGAATCATAATGACAAGGAATTTGATTTAAATCATATCAAAGACGGAGTACATCGAGATGAAATACTACATTTAGTAAGGAATTATAAGCCAAATAAAATAAAAACATCTGCCCTGAAGATAAGGATAGTGCTGACAGAAACGGCACGGCGTGCAATGAACTTCCAATTCATTGCGCGCCGCGGCATTCTGCCCTCCCTACCGCAGAGCAGCATGAAATTGATAAACAGATTTCGGATTTCAAAACATACTTTCGCTTTGTAGATCCTTTACATATTAGTAAATATATATTGGAAATTCTATTTGACATAATCGAAAGTTCAAGCTTACTTTTATAAAATTGCTCTAACAGTCTGCAAAAAATAATAAACCGGATCCAATTCGAAGATTAAGGAACAACGCAATCTGCAACATTAACAGAATTAGATAATTTTAGCTTACCTTAAACCGTCCGTTATACATTAAACGCGCATGCGTAAACATATTATGCGCTTGCGCACACGCATATTTGCAGCCGTAAAGGTCTTACGCGCACACGTAAACGCCTATGTGCATGCGTCAACACGATGCATGCACAGAAAGTTTGTGGCTTTGTAGATCATTCCGGATTATGGGTGTCCGAATTAACGACTCTTGACTGTATTATCTTTTCATAACAACTTATTTTTATTTCTTATTAAATACAACATCAATTTCTATTACTCCTTTTTAAAAACATCATTTATGACAAATTATGTCAATGCTTAAAGAATATTTATGAAAATAAAAGTGGATTATTTTGCTAGTCTATGAGTGGCTATTGACTTTGAACAAAGCTCAGATCACATAAATTTATGAGTGTTAGAGAAAAAACAGAATGTTGGAGTATTAAAGTTTTGAGTTTAATAGATAAAAATATTTTGTTTGTTTGCATACCATGAGTGATATGCATACCACCAGTTGAGAATCGCTGGTGTATATATACCAAGTTTTCTTTAACCTAAAAATAATGGACAATAAAAGAATCCTTTTACAGCAAGACTGTCTAAAATGAAAATGAACTGATACCATGCTTTGGGAAAAACTGCATCTTAGTCTATTATGTACTTTAGGGAAAGAGTAGAAACATAGCATGTAATCTCAGCCATTGGTGCTTTGAAAGAAAGGCCATCTCAGGCATTTTAGTCATGAAAGAGTTATATTTCCTAAACAGGAGTAGGCATATGAGCACAATCTACTTGTGTGTCAGGCAATGAATATCAACACGCAGATGACTGGCAGTGAAAATGTTAAAAACATTAAAATGCCTTTCATACACTCCAGAAACTTTTCACTCCCAGACTGTCCATATGATAACTTCAGTTTTCCAGCATTGGTTCATCACTATGAATGTAATATAGAAACAAAGCCTCATTAGCAGTCCACTCTATATCATATTTGAAGTGCTAAAAGAAAACACTTCAAATTTTAAACACAAATTTATGATGTTAGAATACCATAAAATTTATTGAAGGAAATGTTTTGAGCATTTAACTGTCGCGATGCATATTATTTACTATTTTGCTCTGAATGCTAAATGGCTCAGCAACATATTATTCAAAGCTCAGAAATGTTTTAGTGCCTTTAATTTTTTTAATATATAAGTAGCAGTAATATATAATATGCACTGGTATCCTGAATTTAATTTTTTTTTTTTTTTCATTAATGTATAACATAGCAATCAAGCTTGAAATACGAAAAACTGGATGTTTCCAGGAGGTCTTCATGTTATGTGAGAACAGCATTTAAAAAAAACTCCAAACTGACTTAAATTCACTTTATAATATATTGATTCCAGCTACTGTATTGATAACACGATTCTGATATAAAATACACTAATATGTAATTTATTTGTTTGCATTAAATTTCATTATTTAAAATTTAATTAACTTTAAGGCTTAATCCTAGTATCCGGTGCACGTGGGATTTGACTACTTCTGGCGACTTTTATGATAAGCAGTAAAAACAGAACATATACCACAAGTAGAAACGGGTATTCAAAGAATATATATAGTTATACATAGTATATACTATGTATATAGTGATAGTATATAGTGTACTTTAAGTATATATATAGACGTTCTTTGAGTCTATATATATATATACTTAAAGTACACTGAAATTGTATATATGTAAAATTTTTTAGTATATATATATATAGACGTTCTTTGGGTCATTTTTGGGTGTTGGCGATAATTTTCAAAATCACGCCAAGACTGCACCGTATACTAGGATTTTACCAACTTTAAATTTGCTTTTTACAAATAGAGAATGTTTGTTAAATTCTAATATCTAATTAGATATTTTAAATTTTATATTCTTTGGCTAATTTCATTTTGCAATTTTCTTATACTTTTATACTGAAAAAATCCTGAGTGGGAATTGAAGCTTTTATTTATCAAATATGGCTAAATTTCCAATTCCCATTGTTTACACTTATAATAATAGCTTTTGACAGCCCTGTGAACTTTTGTGCACTTATTGTGTTTTATTTGCATATCATTCTTACATGTATTCCTACATATTTATCTGAAATTTACTGCTTTGTTTTTTACCCAAATACACAAATAATCAATGCATAATACTCATATACATACTTTAGCATGGCTAAAAATGCAACATACATACTTTGAGCCCAAGGGAATAAAAAGAAAGTTAATAAAGCATTAGCTCAACATCCCTTTCGGCAGCTTTGCACATTTGATTTATCTGATAATTTACTACCAAATTTTCTTTTACAATATTTTCTGGAAGAAAAATAAAGCTCGATCACACATATTTAATTTCAAAATTTGCCCAACAACTCACAAAAAAAAAAAAAAAAAAAAAAAAAAATACAAGAAATTACTAAAAGGAAGACAGGTAATAAGATGCGATTTTATAATGCAGTCAATAACTTGTGATCAAAAATAATACAAAGTAGATGACAAAATAAAGTGCACAGCAATCAGCAACTGAGTAAGAGACAAAAAATTAACTTACTGCTCTCTGAATTTATTGCTAATAATGAGAGTTAAATTATTGCTAAAAAGAGTTGAATCAGTTTCTTTTAAAAATTATTTTTAAAAAATAAATGTTATGAATTTTTAACAATAAATCGATTTACAGATTAAAACTATGCAGATTAATATGGTATCCCAGAAAATGCAATTTTTCTAAAGCTTGGTTTCAGTTCCAAGTTGATACTTATTAGAACTCTACAAATAATATAGCATTTGCAAACCATATTCAAACGATCAAATTCCATAAACAGGTAACAAATTGATGTTTACTTACGCAGCTTCCAATGCTTTTTGGAGGACACAGACATTCTTGGGCAAACTTCTCACACAACTGGTAAAACATACAAATATGCCACAAGGATCACACATATATCACTTAACACATGTTCTCAAAGATGTCAAGTATTCCTTCGTATAATAATTAGCATCTTTCAAAATAACCGAACTTATAAACAAACCGCGAATATAATTTTCTTGGTAGCAAAAATTTCGGAGAGCTTAAGGGATCATAAATTCACGCCGGAAACCTAAAAACTGACTTCTTCTTCATTTCGAAATTTTGATGCTAAGGCTGAATAATTTTGTATAGCACAACAGAAATACAAAATAGTAAGTAGGACGAATTTCAAACATGCACGAAACTGCATTAACCGTGCCTTCATTCAAGTTTAACTGTTTAGCAACTGAGAAAATTTAACCGAAAAAGGCAGTTGAGAGGTTACGGTTTCACATTTCGGGTTGAAGGATAAAAATTTACTAAAAAATATTCAAACTTACTTTTTTTAAATAAATGAATGTTTAATTATTCTATAACAGAAATTTCAAATATTTTAGTTCAAAACGCCTGTTTATAGTAAAATAAAAATTAACTTTCAGATATTAACAAATATGTTGTAAAGAAAATTCTGTAAAATGATACGACGTCCTGCTTATACTATTTCAAGGCCATTTAATTTAATTTTATAATTAGAGAAATAGCATTTGTTCAATAATAATTATCAAGAAAAATAATGGGCAAAATAAATCAGAACATACTCCTTCGTAGCACCTAGTGGTAGAATGGTAGGGTTTCAACTCTTCTAGTTCGGCTTTTACAGCTGCTAACAAGTCCGTCAACTTCATTTCCTTCCCCATGGCTTTTTCCTGAAGGCGGGTCACTGGCATTCACTTGCAAATCCCACTTCTGAACTCAATTATTATGTTCTACGGGTTCATGGATTCGAGGTGTTTGATGACAACACTTGATGAAGAATCAAAACAAATTTTATTCGTTAGTATTACACAGGAGAGTTGCAAAGACACTTTTACAACCGTCGAAAAACTAGATAAACATTCTTAAACAATCCGCAATCCGGCCTTCAGGCTATCAGGCTATAACGGTGAAGGCCGCTTCACGTCAAAGCACTAAAGTACAGCTTCCGACTCGGTAGATAGCTTTTGAGCTAATCTTTGAATTCAAGACACTGCTACAAAGCTCAACATACTACTCACGATCCTCTTCACGATACATTGCTACTCCGCGTACAGGCAGGGTTTCTATAGCTTCTGACCTGCTTTCTGGAATATTCTGAAGAAAACCATTAAGAATATTTTCCTAGAATATTCTTGCTCTGTCTATAGAATATTGGTAATTTTGTCCCCAAATGGATGATTTCCTTCCAAATCTAGCAACACTGGCTTTCCTTGACATTTTCTGGCAACTTTAACCCCCACTTTGCGGGGAAGCTATCTTTTAGCATCTGGGCGTTTCGTAACAATATCTTTTCTCTCTCCAATTCCACTTTTAATTTCAGAAACCCAGAAATTTAATAACATTTCTCTCTAACTAGAGACTCCACCCCAATAAAAAGAACATCCTTGAAGGGTGGGAGCTTAAGAAAATGTCCTGGACGCTTGTCTGCATTTAACTTTTGATCAAAACTTCAATGTCATAGTATACCCACTTTCCATCGCTGTTTATAATTTATTGCAAGACCTCTATGTATATCGTATTTCTTATACATTAATTTCAGTAAAATATACAAGTAATTGCTTTCTCTGTAGTAATAAATATTTAGGAAATTTAGAAATTTTAATTTCCCTTCGACTTTACATTTTGCAGAGCCGTTCCTAGATATATTTTCACCCGAGAAAAAGACGCTAATGCACACCCCTATATGCAATGATGTATGGTGACCGGCCACTTGGAACAGGGGAAAGAAGGAAAAAGAAATACATATAAGCACAATAAACTAAGTATAGTCTGGGCATAAAAAAAACTTCCCTGACAAATGAACCCTTAGCTATCTATCTGCTCAGTGAAGCGAATAAATTGCAGAAATTGTTATTTGTTTACCAAATCGCGTATAGTTATTTGAAGATAATGCATTCGAAACTGAGATGATTTAAACAATAGGTCTCTCACGGTGACGAGAATAGTAAATAAAGACGAAATTTTCGAATGGTAAAATCCACTTTTTCCTGCGCAATTTGATCAGCTAGCTAAAAACCATACATGGCACCGAAACTATACATTTGGGTGATAAAAATTACCGGGGTTAAACATTTCTAAAGAAAAGCATTGTAAAGGACCAGTTACAACACAGGACACGGAAAAATCATTATTTGGGATGACAAAATTTCAATGTGTCCATCTTCGCACACGATAACGCATTGTATGTGGGAGATTGTTGACGACAATGACGAACGTAATATCGCAGGAAGAATCTGTATAAATTCAAGTTTTATGGCATCTATCAGTTTTGGCAAATGTCGTGGATTTGATGATTCCAGGTGCACACTTTAGATTCCAGGTGCATCACAAGTAGAAATCCGTCAGAGTGAGGTTGGGGACTCACTATGGCCAAAAAGCTGCAGTGTTCTTTTGAGATAACTCTGTCTCCAAGGTGCTGTTGCAGCAGATGCCGAAGACATGATGCGGCCTGTGAAAGAGCACCATCTTGCATCCATTCAATATCATTAACTATATTTCACCGCTGTAATTCTTGAATTTCGTAGTTCTGAAACATTGTTCAGCACCTGTGATGGGGCAAATTTTTGTGCCTGTGGAAGTGACCTCTTCAAAAAAGTACGGACAGAGAACGAATGTGCTTATGATACCTCACCACATAGTCATTTTAGCCTCGTGAAAAGACGCTAGTGACGCATAGTGAGGATTTTCATCAGCCCAGTGAATTCAGTTCTTGGAATTCACTTTTCCAGTTAAAGATAAATGTGACCCATCCGTCCATAATATCAGCAGCAGTCTTCTGCTGTAATCATAATGAAGAAAAAATTCGCAAATTCGACACTCTGTTGTTAATCTACAGGTTGCAACATCTTGACGCGCGGGAATCGATAAGGAAACGTCCGCAGAACAGAGTGCAGTAGCTTGACAACAATGATTTTCGGTACCAAACTACGGGCAACAGTTCTCCCAGTATGCAATGGACCTGCAGTAATCATATTATGCACTTCCGCAACAACTTCAGCAGGAATACGTATTCGCTCCGATCGCCGCTTATTTCATATGTAACTAGTTTCTTCAATTTGTTTTACCAAATCGCGTATAGTTTTTACAAAACATGGGTCTCGTCTTAGCTTACGGTTTCGTTGATTGACTTATATTGCTTCGGCAACATTTTCCCCATATAGATAAAACAGCTTTATAAATTCTCCTCGTTGTTTGCTTGAAAGAGTCATTTTGTTAGCAAGTTCGAATACCTGACTGGAGAAACAATCTTCTCACACTGCTCATTAAAGATTTTGCACAAGCAATGCTTTGCACGCGATGTTCTCTGATTGATGCTTCTACTGTCTGTCTCTGTAAGTTATGAAAAAATGTAAATATCCCTGCTCTCTGTGTTGTCATTGTTTCTTTATGATGCTCCTCTTTGATGGTGTTTTACACCGGCAATTTTTGTCATTAAGTGTATCTTTCCAACGCTATTTATGGTTTTTAATGCGTGGATCGATTTGCTTAATAAAAAATAGGGTATCGGCACTCAAAAATTGGGATTTTTTTTCACTGTAACAGAGATGTAGCATTCAAGGTCTTGTCATGATCCAAACATTGACTCACCACCCACAGTTTAGGAGACGTCGCTCTAAGTGATTAATCTATGAGCCACTATCTAACATTCTTATACCTTCTATCATTCAAATAAAATTTTATTGCAAGAAAGGTCTAAACGAGCAGAAATTTATGTATCAGTCATACTATTATTTAAATAAGGCCAACAGATTGGTTATCAGATAATACTTTTATAGGTTATTATTCCCATCATATTGTTACAAGTACAGTTTTAAAATTCTTTCTCAAAGGAAAGTTTTTTGATATTGAAGAGACAAAAGGAGTATGACATCTACTTTTAGAGGCATGTCAAAAACAGATCTCTACAAGCCTTCTCTTCCATTACATGTTGTGCAGTCAGACAAAAAGTTGCATCAGCGTAAATTCTATAATCTATTTTTATTACACTCTGATTACTTTACTACATACAGTGAATATATACTAAATCTTTTACTTCAGCTTAAGTAATTCGGAATTTTTGACGGAATTGTTGTCGGAACTAGGACTTAGAAGATAAGTCAAATTAAATATTTCGATAACCCAATAAATTCAAGGTTGAATTTCAATATTTTATTTTCGAAGGGAGGGGAAATTTTTTCAGTTTTGCTCCATTATCCTAAGTATATTTGTTTCGATTCTTTATTTTTTCATAAAAGCGAAAAATTTACGTATGGTACACATATAACGCATAGCTTCAAATGAAAATTTAATAATATACGGAGTGGTTATAATTAAAGTTCCACATTGAAACGGTCATAAAACGAAAACTACTATATCAAATGTTATCAAACCTGGTAATCGTGTAAAGGAGGTCATAGGAATTTATTTTCCGAGAAAAAAAGGAAGTTCCAAACCTCACCACCAATGGAGAAATGGCGCTGTATGCAATATTTTTAAACGAAATATGGGTCGGAATCTAACTTAACCTTTTGTTACACAGGTTTAATATGTTGTATACCCTTAAGAAATTCTGAAGTAAGCAAATTACCATTTAAAGGCGTTAAATTCGATAAACGTTGAGTGCGCCATCCGTGTAAGTGAGAAATTCGTCTGTGAAAACCACGAATTAGCGATTAGAAAATGTGAGATCGCAAATGACTCGCACAAGTGCGTACAATCTGGAAATCGTTTTCTTACAGATCACTAATTTGTAATTTTTGAAGCCTGAATTCGGCACTAAACCATGAAGATACTGATTCAAAACGCTTTTAATCGATTTGGGCCAAAGATATCCCCCATGTTATCTATCTATTACCATTGCATTCTCCTACTGCATTCGATTGCGTAGCAGTCATTCCACACCGTTTAGTGTTGAATGACAGCTAGTTTTATAACTGAACCATTTTTCTCTGAAGAGCAGTCGACAGCTGGACCACTGTGATTGCAGCTCACTTAGAGTCAATGTTAAAATGTTTCGTGATACATGAACTCCAGTAACGTGGCATTTTAGATACTACGATTTTTATGCAGGGCTAGGCCCCACCTCATGTGTGTCGCACAGTTACTTAGGCAACATTTCACGAATGAACGTCTTATGGGTCAACACTTCCCCTCTTCCCACCAGACCTCAACCTCTGTGACTTTTGGCTATTGGGTTATCTCAAAAGCACTGTTTATGGTGATAATCTAAA